TGGTAAGACTCAAAGGAACAAGTGTTCCAACCAATATATTTTGATTAGATCATCATGATATGCAAGCCCAGACTGCCACGTCAAAGCACCACTTATAGTTGAGAGGACTTTAACACTACTGATTAAACTTAAGTATCCGAAACAGGATTTCAAAGGAATTAACTAACCTTTAAATACATATGGCTTTCAAACATCAACTTTATCAGTGGTAGTGTAAATAACACTTCACACTTGTGATATAGCTGAAAACCGTATACATTAACTTGTACTTCCTTCATGGGTTATATTTAAATAAAAGTAGCAATATGCAATTAAAACGATCACTGATGTGAAACAAAAAGACTTAAAAAGATTAAAAATTCAATTGTGTTTTCTTTTGTTGGAATTTTTCTTTTGCAAAATGAATTCTTATGATTGAATAAACAGCTGAGAATTAGTTCGCGGTATTATTGATTTTCATGTATACACATATATTTGCACATTACATGTTCATAGTGTGATAGACTGACATAGATATGTAAACAGACACTAACACATGATAATGCATAGACATGCACATGCACTCAACCCTATGAAAACACGGAGAGATTATAATGTATGAACGAACCAATCAGATATAAGATAACAGGTCTCGGATTTTGGCGCGAAATTCCCTCATCCATTTGGATAAATAATATTTCGGCATTTTGACTGATGTCAGTTCATGATGAAAACCCTAAATCTAATTTCTAACCCTAATCGTCAACTGTAAATCATAATTCTAATTCCTCATACTGGTTTGTAACCCTCGTTTAATCCTGGTTAGTAGGTGGATATTCTCAAGGTCACTTTAGCGTCTCTTAAAAGTAGTTCATAAATTACGGTCCCACCGAAAAATACAAAAAAATTTCCCATTAAACACAATTATGATTAACCTGTAATTAATAATGGTTATAAAGTTACTAAGGCAAATTCTCTGTTTATAATTTCACAAATAAAAAAGAAAAAATCTTCTCACACCTCAGATTTATTTACGAATACACATTATCTGTGATCTTAACACACTTTTCGTTATACACCATACATCTCATACGCATTAGAGCAAATACTTACTTTAAACATTATTAACATGATTGGATGACCTATTTAGTAGACAGTTGGTCGAAGAATTATATAACTAATTATGTTTGATCATATTTTCTTGAAAATGCTTGGACTAGATTACTGAGCGAAACGTCAGATTTATTTAAAATTTACAATTGATTGATCACTGGGTGGTGATCAATGTCATGTATGTCAAGTCCTCCTTAGTTCAGATCGAATGCTATCGACCAAGTTGCACTGTGGTCATTAGTCTAGGTGACTTGACATTGCGTGCACTATGTTGAGATTAGATGGTGGTTGGAGGTAGTCAACAGGAAACCCTGGACCCGGATTTCATACTACTTGGCAGTCGTCAGTAAGGTGTACGTGTAATCTTGAGGGAACTGGTGCTCCCTCAACTTGGTCGATAGCATTCGGTCTAAACTAAGAAGGACTTGAAACACATGATATTGATCGCCACCCAGTGATCAATCAATTGTGATTACAACTCAGTCCTACAGGAAGTCGGTCGCGGCGCGGACAGCCCAGTGGTAACGTCTCTAACTGTGAAGCTGGGTGACACAGGATCGGATCCGTCAGGGAGCACCAGTTCTTTCAAGATTACAGGTACACCTTACTGACGAGTGCCATGTAGCACGAAACCCAGGTTCAGGGTTTCCTGTTGACTACCTCCAACCACCGCCTTATTTAAAATTCAATCGCTCAGATTTTACGAATTGATTCTTTCACTTTAAATTGGTGTCGAAATACTATGGAACTATTCATTCGGATTTAGACGAAAGTTCTTATATAATAACTTAATCAGTAGATAAAGTCATCTTGAAAAGTTGTGTCAATGGATTTAGACTTTGATGTTGTAAAGAAAAACACATTCATTTATTGAATTATTGGGATTGATTATCTGTATGAGTTAGAGTGAGAATAAATAAAGAAATGATACGATACAGTTGAATTAGTCAAGATTAAGGTAGTAATACTTGAGGTTTTGCATAGAATTAAAAATAAAACGATTCTAACTATCATGAACTTAGTAAATGAAGTTATGACTTAATGTTTTATTCAAACGACTTACAACTAACTGAATGCTCAAGTTTTGAACCCTGTTCTACCTACTATGTTTAACTCTTCTGTAGAGTAATTACCGCCTTAAAGCTGAGTATGTGGCAAATCACTTGTATAAAGATGTACATCATATATGCAACTTTGTAGGGGCCTAGAGTTGGCAAGAATCTGTTGTGCTATCATAGAATGGAAATGACAGTGCATAGAACTCAAAAATATATGATTACTCGTTTTGATGCAAATTATATTCATAATTGGTTCCTCCGTTTGTTCACAGTAAATACTTAAACAGATCACGTGATTCGGATTGATTGGCCCTTGAGTCGTTACCAATGTCATATATGTCAAGTCCCTCTTAGTATTATTCAAACTGCATCGATCAGGTTGTAGTATGACCACTAGTACAAGTGATTCAACATCGTGTGCACTATGTTAAGATTTTAATTGGTTGGAAGCAGTCGGCAGGAAACTCTGAACATAGGTTTGATGCCTACTGGCACTCGTTAATGGGTTATGTCTCCAGTCTTAGAAGAAGCGATGCTACCTGTGAAATTTGAACTTTTGTCACACAGCTTCACAGTGTGAGAAGTTTGGTAGAAAGGATTCAGCCAGAACTAAGAATTCGACAACTATAGCATTGATCAATACTGAGTGATAAATTAACGTAAACATTTAAATCCTTCAGGAGATCCGTCGTGGACAAGATAGCTCAATGTAACGTTTCAGATAATGAAACCGAAATCTTTTTGCCATTCACATTAATGAGTTTCTGTCATAAAATTTCTTTGATATCGCGATTAAAAAACACACTAAAAACTGTGAAATAAATTTGTAAACTACATGGAACTCTCTGTATACACATAAATTTCGTTAACATTTGTCATGAAAGATTATTGGCTAATAAATGATATTTGAACAGTTGCTAATCTCGTCCATGGTCCCTGATTTAGCATAGTTTTACCAAACAAACCAATCAAAAGTATTAACCCTAAGCTTTTTAAAAAGCATGTGTATATAGGGAATAAGAACTTGGAGATATATGTAAGTTGAAAGACACCTTTCTGTCTAAAACTAGAATCCAACGGGGATTAACCTAACGATGCCCTAGATGAAAAATTCGTAAGAACATTTTAAATGACTCTAAAACCATCAAACTGTATTTCTTTTGATATACAGTGGCCTAGAGTCTAAGAGTTCATGTGTGAGAAGGGAGTTTCTGGGCTGTATTCTGGGGGGAAAGCAATTTCAAAGAGCCTAATACTAGGATGGAACGGTATTTCAGTGCTTACAGGTCTTTATTGGTGGCCTAGTTAAAATCAGTTCTTGCTTTAAACTATGATAATTAAAAACGTTCAAAGATGAGTCTTTAAATTAAGTTTTCTGTTCACTAAAATTATGGCCACTAAGTATTATTGACCCTAAGTTAAATATTTTCATACCAAATTTCGCCATATTCGTAGAATAATAAAAATTTTCCATGTCAATTATCAGTGTGAAAACTACATAGTTTATTGTTTTCGTGCTCTGTTCTTGAATGTAACCATTCTCAGTTCTTATATAACACATTTTTAGGAATTGTGCTAAATTCTCACCAGTTCAATACATTCGTTGAAGGGAAACAAAATTATGATAGTTTTTCATTGAACTCCTGAACAGGTTTAAGTTAGACCCCAATTGAAAACCTAGAAGCATTGGATGGTCGTTTTATCTTAGTATGAAATTCCTTGGCAGTGTTGATTAACGACCTCGTACTCGTGAATCGAACCCATGACCTTCGGTTTTGCGCGCAGAACTTCATATATGTTTATCTATTCAATTTATCCTATGGATCCAGTTAGAAAAGTCATACGATTCATGAAGCATGCCATCGTACTGACTAACACCATCTGGCTTGTCTGAATAAAGAAAAGTTAAAGTTGATTAAGTATTCTATCCTCATTTACTTGATTTACTCAAGGAGTGAAGTTGAATTGAACAAAGGTATTCAAGTTATTCAGTGTATTCTATCGAATTTTCCGTAGGATTAACATTTCTTTCGAGTAGTTTTGAAGTTACCGGAATCCATGCTCATATATCTAAACTTGTAACTCAAAACAAGTCCGTCCAGTTGCTCTCTCTAACTTGTCCCTAGACACACCAGAATGGATTATAAAGGAATTTCGATTCCCATAATTTTTATAAAACCAATTTTCCAAAAAATCTGCCAAAAACTTTCTTAGATTTTATCTTTGTGTTTCTATACAATTTGAATAATGGTCTCTGAATTCTTATGTAACTATTTTAAAATTAACTTATCAACAAAATACTTTGTTGTTACATAAATAACAATACCACTTGATTGATATTAGTTTCATAGTTGTTGTTAAGATCATATATTTTGCATAGGCGGATTTTTGGAGATTGTAGAATTTGCATAGTGTAAATCACAATCTAATCTGAGTAAGACCGTCATTGAAAACTTGGAAACACTGGATAACCGTTTCATTCTGGTATAGGACATTTCGACAGTACCCATCCACAACCTAACTACAGAAGATCGAGCTTAAGACCTCCGATCTTGCACGTGAGCTCTTAACCACTGAATCACTGAGCCGGAATCCAGTGGTGCCGATGTCGAACTGCAATCAATTCACAATATTATGCTACCATCCCCATTACCTGTGATGGATAACTGTTTCATGCTTCTCACCAGTCGTTTTCAACCTGATGTATTAGTCCGTGATCCAAACTATTATTAAACATACATACTGGTCATATTGGAAAACTAATCAATTCACCTCAAAAAATGTAAGTCTTCAACTGAATCACTGGCGGCAAATTTAAATCTTTCAAATGTATTTTGTTCTCTTTGATAGATCGAGCCAAAGTTGTTGAAACATTGAACTCACCTTCTGATGAAAATAATGAATGGTCTCATATGAATCCAGCTATGTCTTACGATGAGAAACAGAATGTTCCAAAACATGCTGCTCGTAGTTCTTTGTATAAAGTAAATGAAAATAAGAATACTTCTGGAATTCCATTTACAAATGACAATAACAGACGAGGTAATCTGTTTTATGTGAAGAGGTATCATTTTGAATTAAATATTCAAACATTGATGGCTTATTATTAGTGTACTTCAAGGTACTTTAGGATATATTAACTTGGTCCATTAATACTGATTGATTACTGAATAGTGACTAGTATGTGCTAAACAGATTGTTATCAATCAGGCTGTGATCTGGAAACTAGTTTTATGGTGTGTGTTACTGACGTCAACAGATATAAATAGTATGTATCGTCAATCGAAAGTGAAATGCCTGGTGGCAGAAGGTTAAGAAGATTGAAGGAAAAAGAACGAGAACAGAGAATAATTGATGTGGAAACGAAAGAACATTGAAATCTGAGACGATTGATTGACATTTTGCAGAAGAAACAGTCAAGCTTGAGACAGTTGACTGACACTTTGCAAATGAAGAATTTACTATATGGTTCTCAGATTTTACAAAAAAATTCTGTAATTTTGACACCAGATTTCGGTTAGTACTATGAACTAGGCTAACTTAAAATTTGATTACTACTCACGAGTTCAGTCATGTTATGATAAGCTTAATGATAGTTCCTTGTATTCTAAAGGAAGACAAACCGGCTCTGGATACTATAGATGATATCTATTCCCTTAATGTTGCAGATACACGTTGCTGACGAGTTCAGGATAACTAAAAATATAATTCCAGTATCTTACTGCTGACCATATAAGTGACTAAACTGACATTTGTGAAGCAAATGATTCCTACTAAATAACCTCATATTAACGTGATTCTCCTGTGAGTAGTCCTATTCCGTATCTGTATTGTTATAATTGAACATGAATAATGAGTCACAAATAAGAAAAATACAGTTATCTAAAGCTTCCTAGTTTTAGCGGTTTTTTACAAGATTATTTCACCATGAAACCCATCTTCAAAACTGCTTTTCCTTCTTGACTTCCATTATAAACCATCTTAAGATCAAACATCAGATGTATTACACATTATGAAAAGATAAATTTTTATTAGAAAAAAATAAATTACGTTCTATGAGATAAGTAGCCTGGTCATGAAACTCTCATTATGTTTATAAGCAAAATTATCACTATAAATTTTAGGTAGAAATCAGCTTTAATAATTTCATCATAAGTGACACTAACAGCTTATTCTATCAGTTATGAATTTAATAGAACGAAATGGCCATCCAGTGTTTCTGGGTTTTCAATGAATGTTCGAAAGTTAACCATACTCATTATAATAAAAAGAATAGAAGCACAAAGAGTATTAATAAACATAGTTAAAATCGATGTTTATATCTATGTTGGGAAATAGTAACGTATAATAGGATAGGTGTTATAGCTAATAGTAATCATAATCAAGATAAGGAAGTAAAATCGAACACTTGACGTTGTGTAGGGAAACTGATTGAGCAATAGAGGAGCTTATTTTCAATGCCAACTTAATTGTTCAGTCGAGTCTTCCTGAGATCTCATTTTCCGTGAGCAGAACTTGGGTAAGGAGAGATTTTTCACAGACAGTTGGTCGTTTGAAATTGTAACTATATTAAAGATCATTTTGGCAAAGGATCTTTTAAATGTTCTAACTAAAGATCATTTTCTGCTGTTCGCTTTTTTTCATCATTTATTAATGCTGACATAATGTTGTTTTCTAGGGGCGCAGTGAAAAATATTTATTGAAATTTTAGCTACTCATAAGTTAATTAAGTAGGTAGAACATTTACGAATTTTCACATTACCATCAAATTTCACGACTAATTTCTGTATTAATTTCCTACTTTCTTACTGTTTCTATGCAATTAAAAGTTGACAATACTCATATTCCATATGAACCACCAACATATTGTCGAGCACATATAACATCTGAAAATATGGATATGGAATGTCAATATAAAGAGGGTCATTTAGACAGGAATTATATACACACCAGTTGGAATTGTTTTGTCAATACTTCACAAGTAGGTTAATATTATATATATATATATATATATATATATATATATATATATATATATATATATATATATATATATATATATATATATACGTTTGTGACAGCTGTTGATTAGGAAAATAGTTTTAATAATACACTTCATGGTGTAACATATTTGCTAATAAATGAACAGAGTAAAATGGTTTAATAGCTAATTGCTGACAACAAAATGTTAAGCTAATGTAATATGAATTCACTTGCCATTGTTTACTTGAATTTTCCCATCGATGTTTAGGATTGAAGTTGATCAATCTCTTATTGGCATATGTGCATACTGTGCGTATTGCCTCGATATTGCCTTAATTCACAAGTATTATGAGCATTATAGTCGCTAGCAGTGGAATCCAGGACGCGCGTTTCGTCCTGAATGTAGATAATGTTGCAATAAGAGGTTAATTTTTATCCACAAAATACTCTTGACAGTGCTCTGAACCAGATCAATTATATTCAGATTCAGTCTAGATCAAGACTAGGTGTTTCTTGTAAATTAGCTTTCACACTACGTCATACTCACTGTATGAGTGACTAAAAGATATTTTTAGTAATTTTAAATAGTTTAGGAAGTATGTACAGACAATTTTTACTTAATTTTCAATAAGATACATGATATAGTTCACTGCGCATTGAATTTCACTCAAAAATCCTGTAGGCGCTATCTTAGATCTCATTCTTTCAATCAATCTCTTCAGCATAGCTAGGACAACCAATAACAGGTATAATAGCTGTCCAGTATAACACTTCAGTGGATAACATGTTCAAGTTTGGATCAAATGTCACTTGGTTTGAGTTCCACTGTAAGCATTGACACTATAATGCAGATATATCCAGATGACAAATCTTATATAGGATTAGACATACGTCCTGAATTCTATTATTATTCACACAACACATATAATAAAACGTATGATGTAAAGCTTTATGGAGAAGTCTCACTCAGGATGAACATACAACATTTGAGACTGAACAAATGAGATCCTCAACACTAACAAAGAGATATTACAAACCTTAACTAATATTCAACATCGTCACTTGCAGTTAACTCTTAAATTTCTCATATAAATATATCTCTACTCTCATTTAAGTCTAGGATGTTCCACTTTCATTTCGAATTCCATTTGTTTGTCAATAAAATTTAATCCTCGTCATTTTTTTTACAGTATGCTGTTTATTATTAATTTTGTAAAGCAGCATAAATGTTACTGAGTTTTGTTTATTCTTTTCTTGTGATACGTTTGGACAGATTCAATACCTGCCCATACCGGAAGCAAAAATGGAACAAATATCTGAAAAGTAAGTTCATAATGAGTATATGTGATGTTTGTCTAGTGTAAATCCAATACATGCAGTTAACTAAAGATAAATAAAATATAATTGAAGTTATAATTTAACATGCCCCCAAATGCCCTGGTACGGCTAAGAGTGGGGAGAACTAGCTCTTTCCGTCGAAATACTCTCACATGGCCACGCATATACAGCCACTGACAGGGAAGTCCTACTCACTGCCTTCTCGAGTCATTACTGTTGTTTACGAAATTAAGAGGACGAAAAGGGAATGTTCGGTGCTTTAACCGAGTTGGTGAATATGGAGGATCCACCTAGAGGAGTTGGAGAACCCTGATTTCAATCCAGTGTTGTACATGGGCCGGCTCCAGGATCCTGAGGGAACAAATGGCGTATGAACCAATCATTGGTCACTGGCTACCATGCGACTGCATCTGCTGACATTTCTCTATTGCTTTGTGGATCAGACCTTCTGGTCAAAGGCTCGGGTTGTAGCCCCCTAAGAAAACCACCTGCTTCGGTCTGGGCACACGGGTAATATCACATGATCAAGCCAAAAAGTGGCTAGGAACGTGGGAGATTGTAATCAATAAACTGAACATAACTTAAAAACAGTAAATCGCATAATAATAATCTATAGATCAAAATGAAACTTATAATGAGAGGAATATAGATTTATACAATCTAAATACTGAATAGTTATACCATAAGAATACATAGATAATATTATCCCATTAATAGTTCTCAAAAGTTACCCGTAATTAAGTGTTCAATAGGATATAACGCTTACTATGAATGTTCACATACATATTTAAACCCAATACCTTACTCTTATTTACTATGGTGTGTGAACTAGAATGATAATGATTGGTTGTTTGTTTAGTCAGACTAGTAGATAGTCTAAGATGGTGGTTGGAGGTAGTCAACAGGAAACCCTGGACCCGGGTTTCGTGCTACATGGCACTCGTCAGGGAGCACCAGTTCCCTCAAGATTGCAGGTACACCTTACTGACGACTGCCAATTAGCATGAAATCCGGGTCCAGGGTTTCCTGTTGACTACCTCCAACCACCATCTTGTCTTAGCATAGTGCACGCAATATCGAGTCACCTAGACTAGTGACCACAGTGCAACTTGGTCGATAGCATTCGATCTGAACTAAGAAGGACTTGACATACATGACATTGATCACCACCCAGTGACCAATCAATTGTAAATAGTAGATAATCTAATAGGTGACAAGATGAGTTATATATTCTTCTATCCTATTTATTATTGTGATTGTTGTCGGGTTGTGGTGTAGAAATATATTTAAGTTCTAGTCAGGCTAATCACGTGTTCTTGTATTGAAGTCCTGTAGAATAGACACCGGAAGAGAATCTAATGTAGATATTTGTCTAAGGCAACTTAGCGTCCCATTTATGTAAATGATGAAACCCGAGTGTTATAACATAATATACTTTACAATACTCCTTTTTATAATAATAATAATAATAATAATAATAATAATAATACCCGATTCATCCATCAATCCTTCTTTCTATTTATTTCTCTCTTTATTTTTAGAGCTCATCAAAAAATACATCGTGGTCTACGTGAAGCATGTTTAGCTATAGGGATTGTATTTTCAACAATATGTTTATTTTGTATTGAATTATTACGTATGATCACATTAACTTTATTTAAACCATTTTTACAATATTTACGTTTTTTATTACATATTATTATTAATTGTTTTTGTGATATCAATTATATATGTAGTGCACATTGGGAAAGGTTTATTTATCCAATCATTAGTTCATGGGCTACATATTCACAAGATGTAATTGTTCCTGTAATACGTGAATTTCGTCCAATTCAAATTAATATACAATCAAAACCAATAGCAAATCATACAATACAACAATGTTAATTGAATATTAATAATAATAATAGTAATAATAATAATAATAGTGTGAACAATAACTGAAATAGGTTTTCTCGCCCCCCCCCCTCATTTTTCTCTCTTTTTAGTTAGTTTTACTTTTTCCCTAGCAACAAAAAAAAGTTTTTTTAATGAAAAAAGAACAACATAAAAATCTAATATTTAATATTTTTTAAAAATTAGTTTGAAGTTTGATATATTGATTTAATTTTTTTTTATTTGAAAAGGAGGGGGGAAGAATTGTGAGAAGTAAATTTCTTTTGTTTTTCTTTTTTTGAAAAAGATTTTATTATCAGGAAAGGGGGTTTTATAAATTTTAATAGTTGAATTCATGAGTTGATTAAAGCTAGATCAGCATTGAAAAACTAGAATTACTGGATGGACTTTAACTGACTCATGAATTTAACTATTAAATTATTGCGATCTACATAAAACTCCCCTTCCTGATACTAATCATCATGTACTCACTAGTGATTGGCTTCAAGAGTCATTTCCTGGAGTTCTAGTGAGAAGCGGTGACCAGTGGAGTTCAACTGGGTCTGTTGTCAGGCAGTAACTCACTGAAGACAGTGATAGACGGTGGCACAATATCATAGATTGGTTGAAGTTAGACATTAACACCATTGGATGCCAACTCAATGGTCCAGAGGTTAAGCGTTCGCACGCGAGACCAATAAGTCCTGGGTTCGAATCCTGCGTGTGTGATCGTAGGTGCGCTGCTGAGGAGTCCCAGACTAGGACGAAACGGCTATCCAGTGCTTCCAGATTTTCTAAGGTGGTTTAACTTTAGTGGACTCATGAATTCAACTATGAAATTACTATAATATCCAAAAAACCTCTTCTGATAATATAAAAAGTTGTGTTCCACTGTATCGTCCAGTTACGACATACACTTCGCATGGTAGGCTATATAAATGAGAAAACTAAAGTGAGTAATAGGAAAGTTCAATTGTCAAATTGAATTATGACGTTACAAAAATCACAAGTATATTTACCGTTATCTTTCAAACTCAAACAACGACTTGTAGACTGTAACCATGAAGTGATGCATAATAGATCTCCTCTAATAGCTTGATCCTGAGGTGGTATATGAGTACAGCTATATGATATATCTATGCTCATCCAGTCTACATCTCAGTCTGTTCAGTAAATACATGAACTGAATTCATAAATCATTAATGTTACAAAATATTTCGATATATCAATTGATTCCCAGTTCCTTGTTGATCGTTATAAACATTTTCGAAATCCCTTAAAAGTCAAGCTATACATAATCGCTTCATGTCTTATTGCCTTCCTATTGTGTTAGATGAATTTGGATTTTGTAATCAAAAAGAAGTAATAAAGATCGGAAATAAATATATTTAGTCAGAATAAGAAGGTAAAAAGAACAGATTAGACAGAAATGTAGAAAAAACTAACCAACTTATTTCCATAGTTTTCTTTATTAAGAATAATAGGCGAGTGAAAACAGAACACTGAAGCAAGATAATTGTTCCTTTAAGTATAAAGTAATCTCATAGTTAATGATGTCCTATTCAAAATCTCAGGATTTTCCAGTAATTATGTTACGTAATTTAAATTGCTCTGTTAAACTTCTCACTCCACATACAACCTTAGCGACGGTTGAAACCAGGATCTTCTGGTCTCCCTGTAAACGCTTAGCCTTTAAACGACTTAGTGAATAATCAGTTGTTAACATTAATAACTCCAGTTAATTCACAATATTGTACAACCACCTTATATTGTTTTCGTTAAGTAAATATCTTATATCTAACACGGTTAAAATTTATTAGTCAAAGCTTTTTTACTAGAACTCAGGAAATCACCTCTCACTAAGAAGTACATGATAATCATTAGTGTAAGGGATACTATGGAAACTGTTGTTCACGTAAAACATTAGTTCTGTTGTAAAATTAATTTTTCTGAATTGTACTCTTTATTAATAGTACATAGTTTTAGCTTCCACTTAGGGTCGCTCCTAGAGTTCAAACCCGTGGTTGAAAGATTAAGCATTCTCTATGAGGCCTGAAGAACTTAGGTTCAATCCTTTTTTAAGATCACGCATGAACAGTGCTATGAGTTCCATACTAGAAGAAAATGGCTGTTCGGTACTTTCTGGTTTTCAGTGACTATCTAAATGCAATTAGGTTTTGTTGTAAACTATAAAACTTAACAATCTATGAAAAACCCTTAAACACATATATGTGTACTGAAGATTGTTGTATCCCGATGAGAATAATGAATGGCAACTGTCATAATCCATTTACGGACTAATACTATATGTGTATTTTTATCGTATGGTTTTTAAATAACTAAACTATTCATATTCGTGTTCCTCTTATCATTAGCATTATTTTGACGTACGAACTATTATTATACGATTTACCATTCTCGAGTTATGCCTAGTCTATGAATTACAGTCTCCCACATTCACAGCCACTTCTGTCTAAATCTTGTACATATGTTGTTTTCCCTTTTATGGTACGATGTCGTCTGGCTCGTTTGTATATAAGCCCAGTATGGTTGAAATACATTATTCATGTCGTAGAGGTTGAGAATTGTGTTCTGGACTCAACAGGCAAGGCTAGACAGGAAGAAGGACCAATAAAGGCTGTAAACTGCTCGGACGGGTTTTATGCGTCATCGGTTCAGTCGATAATCCACTTTTCTCTAATTGGTAGTATCATTACGTCATACATTGATCAGGCACAAGGCCATGAGATATAACACTACATCCATTATTGTAGTTTACTGACAAATCTTGCTATATTCCCTAGCATAATCACACTAAAGATTGTACTTAGTAATAACAGTATCATCTTGTTATCATTCCTGGAATGTAACTCAAACACAAAGGTTTACGAGAGATGATTTTGGTTTGGTGAATAGTGTACTTGATTACAATATCTTCCCCTCATGCTTTCACTTTATTTACCGTTAGGCTTTGACCGTTGTATTATCCTTGTGGGTATTGATAATAATCGGAATATTAACGAAATAGTCAATCGGCATTTTTAATTGAGAAAAAATATGCTGAGAGTAATTCAATTTGGATCTTTCTATTAAATATAGTACAACAAAGAACAAAGATTCCTCCATATGGGCAAATGATTGTTAAAAAATCTAAGTGAATATATTCTCGTTACTTTGATCAAACATTTTAGAACAGAGAAGTAGGTTGTTATGTCATAAGATCATTGAACGTGCCAAATCACCACTCAGATTCCTAATTCAAATTTGAACTATTTCACGTCTACTATTTCCTCGACAGTATATAATGTCCTCAAACTGACCAATTACGTGCACGACTTTCCCTATTGACCCTTAAAAGACAGCTAATTTCCTATTGGTCCGCCATCTGGAAGCTCCTCTCTATCCCTTGAATTGATTTCAGAAGTAGTAACCAGCCTCTATTAAATCTATACTTCAAACGGACGTGATTTATATACAGATATATCGTCACACAATAGAATAAAAAATGACTAATATGCACGAACAGGCTCAAAGTGGTTGTGAATTTAGGTGACTATAGGGAATCGACTGACAACAAATTAGGAATATTAAGTTGTAATGATAGTAGTTTATGGGTTAACCGAAAGCTTATAATAAATGAAATACATAGACCTAGTAATCTAGTTACTTAATAAGCATATAATAAGAATATATAATATTAATCCATACACTAGTTCTGTGAGTTATCATTCCTTCAATCTTCGTTCTGACATAATGTAAGACCATGAACGTATAAGTCGGCTTTGACAACTCCAAATTAGACAAATTAAATTTTTAAAATAACTAAGGCTTTAAGAAAAGACAATGATCACTATAGGGGACATTGAATTATGAGTAAATGAGAATCTCTCACCACATAATGATTGGAACGCTACGAGATACAATGTATTAAAGAATAAGTTCTCCGTTTCTGTGATAACGTGAGAGAAGACAGAGCTTGTACATGGTACGTTACTCTTCTCCATAATTTGAATAAAATATACTCTGTCAACAAGTACTGACATTTTATAACAACTTTAAGACATAACTAATCAATTATATCGAGTTTAAAACTAGCCATTTAATTGGACGAAATGGGATGAAAAATATTGGAAAATGGGATAAAAAAGTATTTTTAAAGGGGTGAAAAAAAATTACAAAAATGGCCAGTTGTTTAATGACGTTCAATCATATGTACGTAGTTGTTACGAAATATTCACGTTTCTAATTTATCTACTGACAATTTACAAGTAGCTAAATAGTTTTTTAAACAATTTCTGCTCAGGGTTAGTCGATACGTAATTCAATCTACTTCATTTATTGTCAAAAGTGATAATAATAATAATAATAATAATAATAATAATAATAATAATAATAATAATAATAATAATAATAATAATAATAATAATAATACCAAACTTATTTGAAAATCAAGGCAGAATTTTTAACACAATACAGATGTACATATAAACATACTTTTCTATAATGAAATAGAGATATCTAGAAATGTGTATATAGGTAAATAAATAGTAGTTAGGATAACTGCTAGGACAGAGATAATGTGACAGACAGATGGATATATCTGGACAGTTCGTTATTAGAAATAAATAAAAACAGGTTAGAATCGAACTAGAATTCTTTCCTATTTTGTTTTTTTTATTATTGTCATCTGTTAAATGCATTTAATAATTGAAGAAGAAAAAAAGTAGAGAAAAAGAAGAAGAAGAAGAAGAAGGCGATGACTATGGAAATATAACAGTATCTTATTTAGTTGTTTCATCATAAATAAAACTATACTGTTTAGAATGAATAATATTTTATTTATGCAATTGTTATGTTTGTTAGTCTTTTGTTGTTATCACTAAAGAAGAAGAAGAAGAAGAAGAAGAAGAAGAAGAAGAAGAAGAAGAAGAAAATCACAAGTTGACCTGGAAGAAATTAATATTTTAAATTTTAATTTATTTTAAAGATTGAAGTATTTTGTTAAAT